TTTTTTTGTTTTTTTAAAGCAGCTAAGGTTCGACCATCGAACCTTTCTGACCCTCTGGGGCGTCCAGGAGAATAATTGCATTGATTGATTGATTGATTGATTGATTGATTGATTGATTGATTGATTGATTGATTGATTGATTAATTGGTTGGTTGGTTGATTGATTGATTGATTGATTGATTGATTGATTGATCGATTGATTGATTGATTGATTGATTGATTGATTGATTGATTGATTGATTGATTGGCCAATTAACCAACCAACTAACACGACGCTCGACCAATCAATATAGCGGCTAGAGTACAACGACAGTAAAACTGCGATGATATTCCGGATAATTAGCATTTGTAATTTAGAGAACGAAGGGCGGAGGGAGAGGAGGAAGAGCAACACGACTCAGGGGAGGTATGGGAGCTAAGTTACAGTTGACTGCAGATTCAGCGGTAAGTTGATGGTTAGCTTTATCACCTGTTGACTTAAGATTTGGCAAATGCGATTGCCTGGTCTGGTCTATCGATTTCAAGTACCCCAATTGGTTGAAGATAATGGTCGACCTTGGGGTAATCGGCCTTGGATCTGCTGGATCCTTGTGGATCACGTCTTGGACATAACCTACTCGTGGTGAGTGGAGGAAAAACAGATTTTCCGTGAGGATTAACAGGGTGCAACTGCTCTGTTGATCGTCTGCCCGCTTTCTGCACTGCTGGCGAGTCTTTTTGAGAAGCTGTTACCATCGGTGATGGGAGACATTGGAATGATCTACTCGATTTCAACTTGTAGTTTTAGTATCCCAAGCAACCTTTGTTATCGACAACAAAGGACCTCTCGGTTTCTTCTTCCTTTCCTTATCTACTCTCTGACTTTCTCTCTCCTTTTTCTTTTTTTTCTTTTCTCTCTCTCTCTTTCTTTCTCTCTCTCTCTCTCTCTCTCTCTCTCTCTCTCTCTCTCTCTCTCTCTCTCTCTCTCTCTCTCTCTCTCTCTCTGTCCCCCTCTCTCCCTCCCTCCCCATCTCTCTCTCGCCCAAACTCACACATACAGACCATTGCCTCCATTCGTAATCACTCTCTTCTCTTCTCTCCTATCTCTCTTCTTTCCTCTCTCTCTTCTCTCTTCTCTCGTGCCATCCCTTCTCTTCTCTCTCTCTCTCTCTCTTTCACACACTTATCTACCTGCACATACAAACATCTACACCCATCCGTAGTTGCTCACTTGTACACCCCCCCACATCCGCTTGAACTCACTCGCACGCGTGGCGATTCGCCTCTTGTGTCAGCATTGAAGACCGCTAGACTTTTCCTTGGGACCGCCCATGATGTGGTCAGGGGGGTCTAGGGCTTTCCAACCCTTGTCCTTCCCTCTCCGATCGAAGTAGAAATTAGAGTGTATCATCATTTGAATCCGGTCTTTCTCGTCGTGTCCCCAATCGTGATAGTAGCCTATATGATGCCCCTGCGAGTCATCGTCACACACTTCGATAACAAATTTTTGTCGTGATACACACCTACCTGCGTGGCGTAAGTCCAATAAACGGAGGTTCATATCTGCGCCGCTAGGCAGGATTACTAATTGAATTTCGTCACCTACCCATCTCTAGCCCTGTTGTAGTAATGACGTTAGGTTTCTGCCGGAGTAGGACCTCGTTTGACAGTGATGTCATGGCGCAAACCCACTTAGCAGCATTATTCGTTTCATCTGGAGCCGCCCTACAAACATCCTCTTCCCGACGATGCATGGCAGTGTCCCTAGTTCCCTCGATGGAGGTGTCGTGGTAATTGGCGCATTACTGCTTTCTTGTCCGCTTCGTTATAAATTACCGGCCGGGGCTGAAATCCCGTTCTTGTTGTGTCGCCCTAGTTAGGGTTCACTACCCGTCCGTGCATGATTGTAGTGGCCATACGGCTATGGTGGACACTCTACCCTATGGGAACTGGACTCCTCGAGGAGGATGGTGGAGGTGAGGCATGGCCTCCACCCATGAGAGGGGGCGAGCAGGTCCTCCGTCCTGTTCCTCGTCTCGACGGTGAGGTTTACAGGTGAACAGCACTACGTGCAGTAAGACGTGTAGCGGGGTTGTTACCGGAGCGCTCTCGTACCAGCGCTCCCATCCGCCTGAACCTAATGTTTTCGCGCCCTACCTACCTGTAGCATCTGCCAGGCTGGAATTTATTTTTTCCGGAAAGTTTCCAAAATGCCCCTCCGAGTGAACCTAATGTTTTCGCGCCCTACCTACCAGTAGCATCTGCCAGGCTGGAATTTATTTTTTCCGGAAAGTTTCTAAAATGCCCCTCCGAGTGAACCTAATGTTTTCGCGCCCTACCTACCAGTAGCATCTGCCAGGCTGGAATTTATTTTTTCCGGAAAGTTTCCAAAATGCCCCTCCGAGTTCCATTTCTACCCTGTCGCGCCCCTTTTTCTGAGAAACCCCTGGTGTCGTTTGGGTCTGATTTATGTTCAATATGCCCCTACCGGTACCGGCTCCAAATTTCCAGTATGCTCTGGTAGCTACCCTCCCAGGGCCAGGGGAACGGCCACGGGTGCCACCAACGGCCACTGGGGCATGCTGGAAAGCTGCAGCCCTCACTGACAGGGGCCTGCAGGAAACTGCCGAGGCCACAGGGGCACAACAGAGCAAGTCCACCATCGGAGGGACATAGCTCAAAATAAATGGAACTCGGAGGGTCATAACGAAAACTAAATGGACGTCGGAGGGACATTTCGAAAATTCTTCTTCCACCCCCCACCCTCTAAATGGAAGTCAGAGGGGCATTTCGAAAATTCTCCTTCCTCCCCCCCTCCCCCTCTTCTGTCTTGGCACTTTGTTTTCATTTTATGTTTGCCCGTTCGTGGGCGCAAGCAGGCTTTGAATTCGAAACTCTGCCCCCCTGTTGGGCGGCCCCCCCCCCTTTCGGCGGACAGCCCCCCCCCCCCCTTCGAGTTTCAAGTTTGCTTGCACTTTCGGTCATCGCCTGTGACAAGGGAAGGAGACGCAGGGCGACGAGGTGGGCACAGCAGGGCAAGGAATGGGCGCAGTACGTCGCGAGGGCACCGTGAAGAGCAGCACGACAAGCGGCGGGAGGAGCAGCGTCAAGCAGGTAGGTCTCTCTCTCTCTCTCTCTCTCTCTCTCTCTCACACACACACACACACACACACACACACACACACACACACACACACAGACACACGCTTTCTCCTTCTCCTCTTCCTCCTCCATATACTCCAACGTACCTTGATCCTCCTCCTCCTCATCTTGCTGGGCGTCCTAACCCCTCCCGGCAGGGGGAGGAAGAGGAGGAAGAGGAGCTGCTCGCTGTCGTGCCCGAAGATGGAAACGTGCCCGCCTTCTTCTTCCTCCTCTTCCTTCTCTTCCTCCTCTTCCTCCTCTTCCTCGTCTAACTCCTCCTCATTGTCTCGATCTTCTTCTTCTTCCCCTTCGTCCTCCTCCTCCTCGTCTTGATCCTCCTTCCCCTTATCGACTTGCTCTCCCTCCCCTCCCGCGGCCCCATGTGGCGCTATTGTCATGGTGTGCTTTTTTTTTTTTTTTTTTTTTTTTTTTTTTTTTTTTTTTAATCAT